ACCTCTTCCCACCGCCACTTTCTTCACTGCCAGCTGGTTGGCTCTCTCCCCACCATTGTTAGGGTAGGAGAGCAAAATACAGGTTTGGGGGCAGGTGTGAAGGGGACGTTGAGCAGAAGAATGAATCAATGACCCAAACTCCAGGAGAGAGGCGGAGCTAGGATCCAATGGGGATGTTGCAATAGTTACTGTGTTTGCAACAGACCAGCTGTCTCCTCAGGTCAAAACCCAGGATGTTGATGTCCTCACAGTTGGCCATACACGACAGTTTTGAATAATAGTATAAACTCCGCCCTAAGGAGGGAAAAGAATGGGAATCCTGCTGGGGTGACTGTCTCCCCCACCGGTTTTCAGAGCCTCACTAATTTGGCTCTGGGCCCTTTGGAGCTGCAGAGCTGAGTCCACGGATTTCTGACCCCAGGGTGGACTTTGTCCCCCCACCAGTGACGCACCTCAGCCAGCCCTTCACTCGATGTTGCCTTGAGGGAAATGTTGCCATGCCCTGTGGGGGGCCACCTGTCCTGATCCAGCCCACTCACATGCTCTGCGGGCACAGGGGCGGCCTTGTCCCTGAGAGAAGGAGGGTGCAGGTCTGGGCCTGTCTGCACCCCACGCTACCTTTTATCGTGAGGACGTAAATGTTCTCGGTGGCGCAGGACTGCTGGGGCCCCAGGTTGCAGGACCTCATGCCGTCGTAGCACAGCCCCAGGTGGTACCTTGTACACTCATAGCAGAAGACCGTAGGCTCTGCCGACACAGAAAGACCCGCTTCACGCGTGTGCTCTGGAGAGGCTTCCACGCCCCGCACGCGGCCCACCGAAGCCGCACCCTGCTGGGCAGAGCCCGTGTGTGTCTGTGGGACCGGGCTGAAGGCCGTGAGCTCCTCCCCAGCAGTTTCCTCTTGCCGACTGGCTCCTAATCTTTCTCCTTTGATGATCTCATGAAGGACGACAGGTACACACATAAATCAAAGGTTGTGTATGGCTGCTGAGGGTCGGAGTTCCTGCAAAACTAATCTACGGACCCCCAAGTCACTAGCCCCTTGTATGGCCAAAATTAACACGGTTTTTGGTAAGTAGTAGGGAAAGGGGAGAAACAGGGGATTTGCGCTTCCTGACTACAAGAAACGGACTCCTTGGGGCTGGGAGAACACAAGGCCCCCAGGATTCTGCAGGGGCAACGGAGGCTAGCCCACCCTGAAGCTGGAGGGGATGCCTACCAAGCACTGGACGCCGGGCATGGTCCTACCTGTCAAGTGTTCTCGAAAATTCCCTGTGAAAGGAAGAAAAAATCCTTCTTCTCGTAATCCTTCATTTATCTGCCAAGCCCCAAATCCCCAAAGCCAACTTTGGAAATGTCTTCTCCCCGAGATGTGCCCACCTCCTAACCAACAGGCAGCTCCTCCTCTGTCTCTGAGACTTACCATTACTTGTCCAGACCAGAGAGGCTATGCCCAGCAGAAACAGAAGGGACATCCTGGGACCTGGGTCGCGTGCACTTTGCTGAGGAGGGAGCTCGTCAGTCCTCCAGGCATCTGTCCTTGGGCTACTCATCTAAACTAGGAAACCTTAAAATTTCAGGGACAGACAGTTCCTAGTGTTCCGAGAACCAGACCGCCCACCAGAATCTCACCACCTCTAGACGACTACACCTTAAATTCTCTTCAGTGATGAGCCCATGTACAGGTATATGCAATGTCGTGTAGCTAAGCTTTGAGCTCTGCAAGGAGAGTGGACTTTCTCTTTCACATTTTAACCTTTTGGGTAGATCAGGACAGGGTTTGGACGCCTGAGTTCCTTGTAGCTCTTTTCACAAATCTAGTCACTGTCTTCAGAATAATCTCTGATTTTTCTTCGTCTCACCTAGGCTGAGACTTGGAAAAGAAAACCAGGGATTGCAGGTGGTGTCTCCAGGTGGGGGCAGCCCTGGCGGGCTCCTCCTGTGGTGCAGGGAATGGGGGTTTCAGGGAAAAGGTGAGCGGAGGTGACATGTGTCTGCTTTGCCTTCAGGTGACTGATTTTGTAATTAAAATAATTACAGAACACGTACCAAAGGCCAATATCACAGGAAGGGGAGATAAGCAAACCAGGACACAAACAGGAGGTCTCCCGGGTGTCAGAGCCCCGTGTTAGAGACCACGGTTGTGGGTGGGGGCGAAGGGGGGCCATTCCATGGGACTGCCCAACCAGGACGCTCCTCTGCGGGGGTGGGGTGGGAGGGTGCTGGGTAGGACTTTTGTCTTTTTATCCTTACCTGTGGACATTATTATTTTCATTGTTTTTAGAGATAAAGGAAGGGAGAGGAAGACAGAGAGAGAGAGGAGAGGGAGAGTAGGGGGGAGGGAGAAACATCGGTTCTTTGGTTTTGTTCTTTCCTGTTCTTTCCACCAGCATTCAGAGGTGTGAGGGGCTCTATGCGAACTCCAGGTGACTTCCTTGGCCCCCACCAGAAGGTACCACCCATCAGATTTTTTAAGGACCCTTATCTCTCACTCTACGCTCTGTGCGCGCATGCGCACACGTGTGCACACAGACACACACACACACTAGGAAGCCATGCCTGCCCCCTGGGAACCCAGGAACACAGTGGCCCGACCCTGACTCCATGCCAAGGTCCATCCCCCCAAGACAAAGGGCAGAATTGAGACGCTCAAGGCAAGAGTTGCTCACGTGTGCTATCACCAAGATCTCAGTTGCCCACCCCGTGCCAAGACAGACCAGGGTCACAAGGACACAGTGTTCTGCTTTCATCTCTACACAGCAGTGGCATCTCAGCCGCATGGCGGCCTTCTGGCCATGGGGGTGCATTAACCAGGGTGCTGGGCCCCACAGACTTTGTCTGTGGGGTCGTGGAGAGGGTGTCTGCTGAGAGCGATACTTTCATTCATTCACATCTTCGTTCAGGCCACCACCGTGTGCTAGGCAGAGTGCCAGGCACAGAACTTGGTAGCCATCCTCGTGATTGACATCCTAGACCCATAGGATGTCAAAGTTGTCAGGGAGCATAAACATGGTCCAACTCTCTCCTCACAGACACACGGCTCGGCAAGGACGCCATGGGCTGCACAGTCATCCAGCACAGGTCTGCAGATCCCGAGAAAAGGCGATTTCTAGCACACCACACTCCTCTAGGAGCAGGCTCCTGTTCTCTCCCACTCCGTGCTAGATGAAGAAAGAAACTGTTCTTACAAGAAACTTGGGTGGATGCATTTCTATAAGGGAATGGGGAGTGGGTCAGAGGACCCCGATGTTTGGGTGGAGTGACGGAATCCCAGGATGTTAACTGGAAGTACAGCCGACCCTCGCTATATCGCGACTCAGTTACCGCGGCCTCGCTCTATCGAGGGTTCCAGTGAAGCCGCAATCAGTGAATGGAGCTGTACTGAGGGGCGGCTGTACACTTCACTGGTGAGTCCCCAGACAGAAGTTTATACGTTGTTAAAATTACGTAGGTTTAGAGTGAGAAAGTGTTTAAGAGCATACGAAGTGTTTGTAAGAGTGTGGGAAAGGTGAATAAGATGGGGTTTAGGGAGCCCTGGGAAAGGTTCAGTGGGAAAGGTTTATGGGAGTGTGGGAGGAGTTTATAAAGCCTTAAAGTATATACAAATAATACAATAAATATAACGCTGCTACTTCCCGATTTCCACCTATCTCGGGGGTCTCTGGAATGTAACTCCCGAGATAGGTGAGGGATCACCTTAATCCAGTCGAAGGGAAACTCAGAACTCAACCGGCCCTTCAGAAAGCACCTGCCACGGGGAACTCAACGGAAGAAGAGATATCGTGCAAACCTGTTGCGGTTTCCTAGGATGTCTGTTTCTGGAGCTGTGATCCTGGAGCCGCTGTCCTTAAACACACCAAGGGGAGGAACACTGATCATCTTGTAAACCCAAGCCTCCAAGGGTCAGGCCTTTGCCCTCGTGACAAGCCTCAGGGAAGTCCCGAAAAGCTCCATGCAGTTTGTGGCATCCTCACTGCAAACACCGCCGAGAACGGAAAAGGCTGCACCATCTTGCCCTCCAGGTCGAGACTCGATTGGCTTCAGAAGCCCTCCTGTCTCCGTCTTGTGGCTCTCTTCCTAGGCAAGGATGTTTGTCAATTTTCTAGCATTTGACCCGAGCCTTTATTTCACGTGATCTGTGTCCCATGTCCCCAAAGGTCAGATAGGGCGTGTTTTATGCAAGGCATTATTCCCACAAGTAAAGAACACGTGGTTGAATCTGCTGAGTATGGAGGAGTCTTAGCATCCCTAGTGCAGGTGCCACCAGCTCACCGACGGGCGAGGGAGGTTTAGAATGCCAGCCCCGGCCAGTTTCCCGGAGACTCACCCAGGGCGAACCTTAACCAAGTTCCCTTCGGTGCGGAATGCTCACCTACATCATGGGCAAAACTGGCCAGGTGCACAACATCAATGTGCTAGAGGTCGGGTTGTGGGATACGTCCCAGGGGGACTTTCACAGCCTTACAAAGTGAATAGTCCCTGGGCTGGGAGGCTGGATTTCTGGTCAAGGGAAAGAGTTCTGGGCCGGGAATCAGCAGCCCTGGTGCAGTCCCTGTTGGGTCATAGATTATAGGTCTTGCCATCTCCTCCACCCTCCTGTTCCTCACCCACAAGGTAAGGAGTTAGGGGAGCTGGTCTGAGCTGCTCATCGCCCTGTTCTCCCGCGGAGCCCTGCGTCCAGCCGCGCAGCGCTCCGTGCGCGTGTGTGTCGAGTGTGCGGATGAATCCCCGAGAGGCGTGCCTCAGCATGGGGAGAGCGCAGCCTCTCGCGGCAGATGGTCTTGCTCCGAGCACCTGCACCGTCGGTCGGCAGAGGTGTGTCCTGAGTGAGATACGAAACCTCTCCAAGACCCGGTTGCCCGCTGTGGGAAATTGGAACAAGAATTGTAATATCGTGGCTGTAATACTAATTGTAACCACTAGGATGAACCCCAAAGGCAGCCTAGTGTAAAGGCCAGCATTTATCTCTCAGCCCTCATTGTTCTGTGCTGGGGCGGAGAGAAGCCAGCTTGAGCTCCCAGGGGAAGCCTCGTGTGATTGGCTGGCTGCCTTGCCCATAAATGACCCCTGCCCTGCCCTGCAGACAGTCTCCTGCCTGTTGCCTAAGGACCCGGACTTGCTGACCCCGGCTTCTTTCCTCCCTGGGCAAGCGACTTCTGCGTCAGGATGGACAGACACGTCCTGTTGGTCTTCTTCCTGTTCTGCTGCTTTGCGGGTGAGTCACGGAGCTGAGGAGTGGGCTCCAGAGATGGGTTTAGGGAGCCCCAGGAATCTTCACCTGTGTAACAGGGACCCAGGCAGGGCTGAGCCTGGACTACATTTAAGGGAGGGGAAGTGAGCCTTCGAAGCCAGCCCTTTGCCTTCCTGGCCAGCTTCCTGCCCTTTCCACGGTCTGCCAACACTCTCGGCAGGGGCTGGGGCCTCTGCAGCCGCCCCTTCTCACTGCCTCCCTCCCCCCCCTTTCCCTACCATTCCCCACAATCTGAAATCCCGACAGGGTTTTCCCTGGGACGCACTTTCCATTTGGAAGTCTGTATGCATATGTTCGGGGAGCCGGTCACAGTCTAGGAAATAATTTTGCTGGACAATGGTCTTTGCTATCCTTGTCAGGGACCTTCTATTAAAATGCAAAGAAGTGATTTCAGGAGAGCAAATACTACGCACTCTGAGTCAATCAGATAGAAGAACCACGGCTCAGTCACTGCCTCTAGTGCGCTGTGCTTTCAGCTGCTCACCTGCGAAGCCGGGACACACCCACTCACAAGGCTTCTGTGGGCCAGCTACAGACTAAGGGAACGTGGCCCCAGTGAGACGCTCAATCCACGCAGCTGTGTCTTCTCACGTGGGTGCACCGAGAGAGGTGTTTCCAAAGAATCAAGCCTCTACCTTGTTGAGCTCCCCAGTGTCAGGTAAAGTGTCCCAGCCTGTGCTGTCATTCCCGAGGCCTTCCCAAGGATTCAGGCTGGATTTCAGAATAGCAACTTCTACCACCTAAGGACCTCTGAGCAGCGAAGGTCAGAAACCCCGTCATGGGAACACTGGCTTGGGAAAACTGCCGTGCAGCACTCACTCGCAGCCTCTCGCTCCTGCCAGCCCGTCTGCAGTGCTGCTGAACAGGCCAGGGTGGCGTTCATGAGCCCGTGCTTACACTGGAAAACCAAGGCCATGAAGGCTAGATCTTTGCTCAGTTACCCAGAAGAAATGGCTTCAGTTGGGGCCAGAATCCTTTCCCTCTCCTGAAAGCATTTCTCTGGGGTGTGGAGTTGGCGATGACCAGACCCCCACCACTGGGTCCTCCTCCACTGCCTGCCACCCCCGCACCACCCGCCCTCTGCCCCCAGACCTGCCCTCTGCCTCAGACCTGCGTCTGTGCAGCCCCCTGCCAGCCTGTGCATCCCTGGCCTCACGCCAGCCCTGTGGTCTCCAGCAGGGACAGCGCTCAAGTGCATAACCTGCCACCTTCACCTGACCTCAGATCGCTGTAGAAGTGGCTTTGGCGTTTGTGTTGCTAAGGAGGAAGAGAAGTGTATGACTTTAAAGGTCTACAACTTCGGTAAGCCAGAGGGCCAGGGTGGGGGGTGCGATGAGATCCTTAGAACATTTTCAGGAGAGTGCTTCAGCAGTTTTACAGCCCAGACTAAAGCCCGTCCAGGAGAGGGACCGAGGTGCAGAATGCACCCAGCACAGGTGCTGGTGGGTGCAGACAGAAGGGAATCAGGGAAAATGTGACAGGGGGAGAGAAGGCGGGGTTTCCACATTCCCCAGAAAACTGGCCAATGGAACTGCAGCTCTGCAGACACCAAAGCGCTGGCTGCTGATCTTCTGGCAGGGAAAGCAGTGAAGCCGCTGGGCAGAGAGCCCAGGCCTGTGAGGGACCTCAGGCCAACAGCCGCTGCCAGAGCCGGTGATGTCGGCGCCACCTGCTGGGGCCTCCCGGAGAAGTCTGAGCTGGACAGGGTCCTGAAACCTGCCCTGGGGCCTGGCTACATTCTCCCCGACTGGGCAGATGCCGGGTTTGACTTGTCTGCAGAGAACCGTGTCACTGACTTACTGCCGCGGCTGCTCCTTCCTCCAGGACGGAAACACCTGCTGTCCTACATGGTGTGCCAGAGGTTCTGCAGAGCCATGAAGTTCCTGCACCACGGTCGGTATTTCGTCTACGAGTGCTGCGACCAGAATTACTGCAACTTCAAACTGGGAGGTGCGTGCCATCCTCAGGGCTCCCTCCAGAGTGTCACTGATGCTTCTCCTCCTTGGCCCTCTGCCTGCCCCTGGTCCTTGCATGGCCACTCTGGTAGTAGCCCCGCTCCCTCGTGCATTCCTTCCTGGTCACCCCCCACCCCACTGGGCTCCTTTGTTGGTGGGAGGGGAAGGATTCTCCACAGCAGGTCCCCCCTTGCAGGAACTGGCGCGACCACACTCCAAGGAGGCGACCCCGAGAGGCCCAGTGCAGAAACATTGACAGGACTATTCTAGAACCTTGTGATTCGCTTGGATCGTTGAGGTAAACGAGAACTCCCTCAGCTAAAAATTCACAAGTGTTTATTTTTCTGTAAAACATGAATTTATTTTTACTCGAGTGAAGCAAGAAATAGGAACACCTTGGATGGGGGACCCTCACGATTTTCCTCTATGGACACGACATTATTTTTCCCAGTGGATATTGTCCACTGCAGACTCAGGCATGATTTCCTCGGCCTTGACAAAGGATATCCACCCCCCAGTGTCAGTGGGACACGGCAGATTAGGGCTTTCCTGCTTCTGTGGCCTTCCTTGCTCACACATGGCTGTGGGGAGAAGGACCAGTGCAAAGCCCTTGGTCCGGTCAAGGTAGCACACAGTGTCTAAAACAGAGCGGGGTCACTTATGCCAACTAATGTGGCTGTCAATCAGCCATGTTACTTTGGTTCAAGAGGAAAATGACCTAGGTCAGAGCAGACGCGTCTGGAGAGGAGACATATGTGCCCAGGTGTTCAGAGCAGCCGCGTCTGCAGAGCGGGACCACCCATGCATAGGCTGCTGGGGAAATTCCCCCCCTGCCAGCCAGGCTGTCAAGCAAGCAGAACAGCCGTGTACCACCCATGGGCTCCTGGGCAAATTCCACCCCTGGCCTCAGGGGTGTCAAGGCATTTATGGAAAGGGCCCGGAAGGGTGGAGTTCACCACTCTCAAGGTATAACCCAGGCAGGCTCCAGACCACTGCTGAGACAGCGGAGCTCCACACCCCAGGTGCTGCCCCGCGCCACACTGGTCTCCCTTGGCATCAGCCCCTGGAGGCTCTGCCCTGCTGGACTGAGGACTCACCTGCCCCACTGCCCACCTGGCTCCGGAGATGTTTCCTTGCATGACGCTGACGACTCCCGTGCTGACTCCCAGACCTGCAGATGGAGATTCTGGGACTCGGGCTCATCATCCCCCATTGATTGCTGTGTGTGTGTGTATGAGATATTTCTCTTTGACTGTTCAAGTGTGAGAACGATAAGAATGTGAGATGTTCTGCTTTGGGTGAACCTGCATTCAGTGAAAGCTGAGTGAAGAGCATAGTTACTGTGTGTGACTGTTGCCTGTTCCTTGGCACCGGGCTGCTCAGCAGGCAGTGAGCTGAGCAGTCTCCTGGTCGACTCACAGGAAAGACGACACCAGGAAGAAGACACTCGTGACAGCGGCCCTTGCCAGCTTGTCAGGGTGTGCACCCCACACTCATCGCTCCTCTCCTTTCTCCCTCCTCCTCGCCTCATCTTTCTCCATTCCCCTTTTCCTTGACATCCACGTCCACTGTTACCTCCCCAGCACCCATGCCGTTGCTGTCCAAATTCTCCCTCTTCTGAATACTCTAGCCCCTTTATTGATACTTTAAAAATAATCCTCACCCAAGTTTATGTTTATTGGTTTGAGAGAGAGAAGAAGGGAGAGAGAAATGTTGATGTGGGAGAGAAACAGTCATTGGTGCCTGCTGTACGCACCCCAGCCGGGGACGGAACATGCACCTGAGGTTTGGGCCCCAACTGGGAATCAAACCTGTGACCTTGTGGTGCACAGGACGATGCTCCAACCACTTGAGCCACCTGGCCAAGGCTGGATGCTTTTCTTGACACTCTCTTCTAATAATTTGTCTAATTTGCCCCAGCCAGTTATAAACCGCAGCAAGAGCAGGGACCAGGACTTACTCATCTCTGCTGTTTAACTGGACACCCAGTGAAACTGATGGACTTTTTCTCTTGCGTCTCTTTAGTCCGCAGCAGTAACAAGGCCTTGGTGCTTCCTCTAGCTGCATCCACTATGTCCAGTGTACCGGGAATGGTAACTCCTACTTTGTACCCGGTGAAGAACGTTCACTCCGGGTGTCATATACCACGTGCTTTCCTCAGAGTTCTTGTTTAACAAACCCTCCAGTATTTAAATATCTTAACCAAAAATTGTTTTTTGATGGGATTCTTCAAAAAACTCGCTAGCTATCTTTACTTCAGAATTGATCGTCGATACCCTCATCGTGCCAAGGTCTTATAAAGGAAACCTGCTCATCTGGGGAGGGCCATCTGACGCTGCTGGGAGTGGCTGAAGGCTCGCGCTTCCCGGATTTAACGATGTCGAGCTGATCGCGTGGGTTTTTCTCAGATTCCACTTCACAAGGGAAACTCTCCCTTCAGTCTCTCGCCTCGCAGGGTTGGCCTCCCTGATCATGAGAAACTAGGTCCATTACTTATTATGAGTAGGAATATAGTAACTTCACCTTCTTGATTAAAGTACAAATCCCACACAATAAAATCATCTGTTGGAAGTATGCGATTTGACGTGATTTGACAAATGTGCAAACCTGTAGAACCAGCACTCTAATTAAAGTATAGAACACGTGCATCAGCCCCGGAAGTTTCTTCAGGCAGCCATCCACTCCCCAGGTGTCCTTTCAACGTATATCACCATGGGATAATTTCACGCATTCTTAAACCTACTATAAATAAAATGATACAGAAAGTACTCTCTTGAGACTGGTTTCTATTATTCACCATGACATTTTAATATTATCTTTTTGTATTTTTTCTTTTTTTAAAGATTTTCACTTTTTAAATATTTTATTTATTTATATTTAGGGTGGGAAGGGAGGGAGAAAGAGAGAGAGAGAAACATCAATGTGCGGTTGCTGGGGGTCATGGCCTGCAACCCAGGCATGTACCCTGACTGGGAATCGAACCTGCGACACTTTGGTTCTCAGCCCGCCCTGAACCCACTGAGTCATGCCAGCCAGGTTCACCATAACATTTTAAAGATTAACGCAGGTTTTTTCTTATACCACAAGGTGGATCTTTTTTTCCACTCTATACATACACTACAATTTATTAAATTAATTTGCCTGTTGAGGGACATCAAGCTCTGTCCAGGTTTGGGCTCTAGTGAGCAAAGCTACCATAGAATTCTTATATAAACTTTTGGTGGACATATACACTCCTTTCTGTTGGGTAGGTAATGAAAAGTAAAAGTTAAGAGTCATGAGGACAGCGTACGCAAAACTCTGAACAAAACTGTGAAGTCGTTGGCCGAAGTGGTGGGGCTGGTTTGTAGCCGCCCCTGTGCTCTGCAGGAGTCCACCTCCCCGCCACTTCCCCGCGCCAGTGGTTGCTGGTCACTGGAGTTTCAGCTGGGCCAGTGGGCGTGAAGGGCATATTGCATTTTCCAAATAATTAATGAAGGCTAGCCACTTTTTATGCCCCCAAGTTAGAAAATCATTCACCCATGACTTCTAATATGTATACACATGAAAATGACCATTTAGATTCTCCATTTGGAATTGATCTTTGTAAGAAATTGATGCAATTCAATCTATTCCTCTATGGCTACTTGATTAGCCCAACATTTATTGAAAAGTTTCCGTTTTTCTCAGCTAATTTGAGATGGATCTTACATAACACACTGAGTTTTCATTAGCACTTCTCTCCAATTCTGGGTCCTCTACTCAGTTGCATTTTTCTCCCCATTGCCTCTACTTCACGACACACACACACACACACACACACACACACACACACATTCAAAGGGGACTGTAGGCTGGAGGTGAAGATGAAAACGATAACATTTCTAAAAGACAGCATAGTATGCTTTTATGACTTGGGAATAAGAAAGGTTAGTTACCTGTGATGTGCAAAGCAAAAGCATTTTTAAAAATTCATAAGTTTCATGTCATTCAGTTAACACTGTTCGTGTTGGGAACCGCCCTGACTGGTATCAGAGGCTGAAACCCCCGCCTAGGCTAAAGCTAAGGGAACGCCCTTGGAACCGTGAGCCAGCAAGGAGACAAAAGCTTATCTCCCTGTCAGGAATGCTGCTTCTGCTGCTTTATTCATGACTGAACCCCCAAAAGCTTGGTCGGTTAGCCAAAGATGGGTAAGATTCCCCACGGGGGGAACGACCTAAGCCAGGCACGATCACTTTTGGGAGGCCCCCCCCAAAAGAAGGACTTGGGGGGCTGCAGCAAAAGGGTGTGATGGACCCTCGCTCCTCGGCTCTGACATAGCCTGAGTTCTCAGCGTCTGGAAGAAAATCTCCTTATCTCTCAGTTGCCTTAGTTCCCTTGCTCCACCTAAGCCTGAAACAATGACAGGGTGGTACAGCTCGGTACTGAGAAGTGCGGACTTCCCAGGGTGATCAGGCCTAAGAAAGAACATGTAAATTACTGTGAAACCTTCTTTGTTTAGAATGCTCTCAGTTGAATGAGAAGGGTCTTAGGAGGAAGTTAGTTTGTTCCTCAGTCTTACAGCTCTTTGACCCCCAACTCAATAGACCGGCAGAGTTCTTTGTTTTCTATAGTTCCTTACTTCCCCCTAATGAGTACTGTATTTTACCTGAATTATTATGCAAAATGAGCCTAATAAAAGCAGGTATGGACGGTAAATCAGCGCGCTCCCCACTGGGGGGGTGGCCATTTCGTCCCTACTTCCCCACAGAAACTAGTTTGTCTCTGTGCATGTGTTGTTTTTTCTCGCGTGTTTATCGTCGAGCCATCCACAGTGTTCCATGGTCACTGCTGGCCGGTGACCCACGCGCAACATGTTCGTTCTTCAGCAGCACGACTAAGAGAGTGGAAACCCCGGTGAAGGCGTGGGCAAGACATCTCTAGTACTCACATCCCACACGGAACTTGTTGCCGGAACACACATATCATTTTTCACCCTTCCTAGACAGACAGAGTGGAAGGAATTTGTCACCTACCTTACAAGAAACACTGAAAGGAGGTATTCCAGCTGAAATGGAATGATGTAATCAATGACAGGAAAGCAGACAGAAATACGTCACGGACTGAGACAGGCCAATATCCCGTCAGACTAGAGATCTGATAGGATGGCGTGTTTGTCACGTAACTGTGGTGCCGAGGTCCAAGGACACAGCACTAAATATAATTGTAGCTACTATAACTTGTTCATAAATAAGCAATAGAAAAAAGGCGCACGATGACATCAAAATATAAAAAGGGGAATAAGAAAAGGGCGAGGCTTTTGTAGATGGTCACAGTTTTGTTACAGACAGCTCAAACTGGACCACTTTATCTGTGAGATATCTTACATTAGACTCCTGGTGCACACAAAGCGAAAACCCAGAGGAGACGCACAGGAGACAGAGAAGGGGGAGGCAGAGCCAGGCACCGTGGGAACCACCAGTGTGCAAAAGGTAGGCAGGAACACGGGGCGAAAGAAACAATATAAATGCAAAACAACTAGAAAGCAATTGAGTGGCCTGAGTCCTTATATCCATAGGATCTCTATATGTAAATGGATTGAATTCACCAGTGAGAAGACACAGAGGGATGGAACGGCTAAAACAGAAGACGCCATGTTCGCTGCCTGCCAGAGATTCACTTCGGTTTCATAGACACACAGGTGAGGAGATGGAGAAAGACATTCTGTGCAAGTGGAGACCAAAATGGACTTTGAGCCACACACTGGAACAAGAGACAAGGTCAATATGTAATGATAAGGGGGCCCATTTATCAAGAAGAGGAAACCAGCATTCTGACCACAATGCTATGAAACCAGAAATCAATAAGAAGATGAAAACGGAAATCTGAAAATATGTGGAAATTAAAAAAAAACACCAAAACACTCCAGAATAACCAATGACACTACGAAGGCATCAAAAAAATAAACAAAATATAGCTATTTACGTTTTAAAAAATTACAGTTGAACAACTGTATTTGAACAACAATAAAATAATTTAAATAAAAATTACAGTTGGAGCACAATATTATATTAGTTTCAGGCATAGAACCCTGTAATTAGACTTTTATGTAATCATGAAGTAATCACCCTGATAAATCATCCCAACAAATCACCCCCATCTGACACCCTCCATGGTGATCACAATATTGGAGACTGTACTCCCTATTCTGTACTGTACATCCCCGTGACTACTTAGTGACTGGCCAGCTGTACTCCTGACTCCCTTCACCTTCCCTAGCCCTGCCCCTCATCGCTCTCCCATCTGGCAACTGTGGAGACGTTCTCTGTATCTGTGAGTCTGCTTCTGTTCTGCTTGTTTGTTTACTTTGTTGTTTAGATTCCATATATAAGTAAAATCATCGGGCATTAAACAACAAAAAATATCTTGAACAACCCAAAATGGAAACACAAAGGAAAAAGGAAAATAATGACATCAAAAATACCACAACCTCGGGGACGCTGCCAGTGTGGTCCCGACACGGAGGTTTATAGCCGTGAAGGCATATGTGAAGAAATAGAAGGATCTCAACAATCAAGCTAGTTTTGCACCTCAATAAATTAGGGGGAAAAAACTGAGCCCAAAGTGAGGAGAAGCGAGGAAATAAGAAAGAACAGAGTGAAAATAAATAGAAACAATCAAAAGAATTAGAAAAATGCATGAAACCAAGTGCTGGTTTTTCAAATACATAAACAAAATGGACAAATATCAGCTAGACTAAGAAAAAAAGAGAAGACTAAAATCACGAAATCATATGTAAAAGAGGCGAGAGACATTACAGCTGATAACAAAAATAGTAAAGATCACAAGAGACTACCAAGAACAATTAGATGCCAACCTGTTGGTTAACTTAGAAGACATGGATCAGTTCCTGGAAACATACATTCTACCAAGACTGAGTCAGGAAGAGAGAGAGAATCTGAACAAACCAAGCACAGGTAAGGGCATTCAATCAATAATCAAAAACTTCCCAACACAGAAAACCCCAGGACCACCAGGTGGCTTCGCTGGCAAAGTTGACCAAACATTTTAAGAATTCCTGCCAATCCTTTTCATACTCTTCCAAAAACTTAAAGAGGAAGGAACCCTTCCAAACTCAGTTTGTA